ATCCCTTCTTGGTTCAATTTCTGTGCCGTACTTTCCCCAACAACCGTCCAGGGGCGGACTGACAACTCCTGGGCCCCCCGGGCAATAGGGGATCATGGGGCCCCTGTTTGTCCTTGCCCAAACGCAATGAAAAAAGGTACCAGGGGCATCTCATGGGGCCCTTTACTGACCCCGGGCCCTCGGGCAGTGCCCAAGTTTCCAAATGGGTCAGTACGCCCCTGCAAAGGCTTGGTCCTGCTGTATATTATGTGAATAGAATGCAATCCACACACAGACATTGAAGTGGTATTTTGCATCAGAAAAAGGGTATTACACAAGTCTTGGTCCTGCTGTACAATGAAAACCATTGCAAATCCTGATGTGAAACTGGCTTCCTACTGCTTTTTGGCATCCAAAACATTTTTTTTGTGTTTTTTTTCCTTAATTGAATAGAATGCAATCCACACACAGCCATTGAAGTGGTATTTTGCATCAGAAAAAGGGTCTTACAGAAGTCTTGGTCCTGCTGTACAACACAAACCATGGCTGCTCTATTAGCACATCTTTGGTAAAATGTTTACTATTGTTATGCCAAGTTTTTTGGCATCTACTGTATTTTTCGCTCCATAAGATGCACTTTTTTCCAAAAAAGGGGGGAAAATGTCAGTGCGTCATATGGAGCGAATATGGAGCTGCTGGTCCGGTATTTCCGCCGCCTCCATCTTGTCAGAATACCGGCCAACCGCTCGTCTCTTCTCTGCAGCAGAAACTTACCTGTTCCTCGGTCCAGCGCTATACAGTCTTCCGGCGCCGGCATCTTTACTGTGACAGCCGGATGCCCACTGTGCATGTGCAAGAAGCGCTGCGCTTTGTGAATGGTACAGCATCTTCTGGGACACATGATAGGTCCCAGAAGACTCCGGACCAATCACAAAGCGCAGCGCTTCTCGCAGAAATTCAGGTACCCACTCCCCCTCCCTCCCCAAAGGTCCGCAGTCTCTTGGTCATCCCATGTACTGTCTGCAGTCTCTGGTCATCCCCTGTACTGTCCGCAGTCTCTTGGTCACCCCCTGTACTGTCCGCAGTCCCTGGTCATCCCCTGTACTCTTCGCAGTCTCTTGGTCATCTCCTGTACTGTCCGTAGTCTCTGGGTCATCCCCTGTACTGTCTGCAGTCTCTGGTCATCCCCTGTACTGTCCGCAGTCTCTGCTCATATCCTGTACTGTGTCCGCAGTCTCTGGTCATCTCCTGTACTGTGTGTCCGCAGCCTCTGGTCATCCCCTGTACTGTGTCCGCAGCCTCTGGTCATCCCCTGTACTGTCTGCAGTCTCTGGTCATCTCCTGTACTGTCTGCAGTCTCTGGTCATCTCCTGTACTGTGTCTGCAGTCTTTGGTCATCTCCTCTACTGTGTCTGCAGTCTCTGGTCATCTCCTCTACTGTGTCCGCAGTCTCTGGTCATCTCCTGTACTGTGTCTGCAGTCTCTGGTCATTTCTGTACTGTGTCTGCAGTCCATTGGTTCAGAATATTTTTTTTTCTTGTTTTCCTCCTCTAAAACCTAGGTGCGTCTTTTGGAGCGAAAAAATATGGTAATTAAGCACTTTTTTGTTTTTTCTTAATGCACTACTTCTCTTAGCTCTCTTTTAATAAGATGCTGGAGATAAAAAAATGCAAAATGTTTACTATTGTTATTTATTTTATGCAATGTTTTTTGGCCATCAAAAGAGGCACTTTTTTCTTTTTTCTTAATGCCACAGTTCTCTAAGGTCTCTGCTAGAGATAAAAAATACAGCATGTTTACAGTAACTATTATTCCATGTTTTTTTGGCAACAAAATAAGAACTTTTTCTTATGCTATACTTCTGTAAACTAAACTTACATCTTTTAAAAGAGACTTTAGTTACTAAAGTCTCTTTTTAAAGATGCAGGAGATAAAAAAAAAAAAAATACAAAATGTTTACTACAGGTTTAAAGCTGTAAAACTTGATATTTTGATTGCACCTTATGCTATTAAGCTATTTCTGTTTTGTTTAAATTGACATAAAGCTATGTTATAATTGCAGTTTTTTTATAATTTGGACTCTTTATTCTAAAGAAAAATGTAATTTCATGAGCTTTAAGGGGGAGTGGTTGGGGGCAGGCTGGGGCTGGGGGATGGGCCAGGGGTGGGGTTGGAAGCAGACATGGGCAAGGTTGGGTGGGGCAATTGGTGGAGAGTAAGGTTTCTGCCTGGCTAGTAGGTCTAGACTGCCCTAGCCTATTGTTGAAGAGTTCCATCCCTGATTCTAAAATAGTGCATCGAGAATGGAATTGACTGCAAATATAAAAGGGGCTCTTATACAGTAGGGGTCCTTCAGAGGACTTTGATGATAAGTGGTGGATGTTCAGCTGAGAGCTGATGCTGGTAGGAGAAGCAATGTTTCTGGTGGTGACTGATCATTTCACCTGATATGCTCAAGCCTTCCCCACCAAGGATCAATAGGCCATCACTGTAGCAAAAGTCCTAGTGGAGAAGTTTTTTATGTATTATGGCCTGCCCACAAGGATACACTCAGATCAAGGTAGAAACTTTGAGAGCAAGTTAATACATAAACTATGTCAGCTGCTAGACATAATAAAATCGAGAACCTCCACATACCACCCACAGGGAGACCCTCAGCCTGAGAGATTCAACCGCACTTTACTGAACATGCTCGGAATGTTGCCCTCTGAGAGGAAACAGCATTGGGGAAACCACATTGCCACCATCGTCCATGCATATAATAGCACAACGAATGATGCCACTGGATATTCTCCCTATAGACTCATGTTTGGAAAGGAAGCTCGGCTTTCAGTTGATCTAGCTTTCGGAACCTCCTCAGATCGTACATCTGTGACTTCCTATAAAGGACATGTTGATCAATTACGGAAAAACCTAAAACAGGCTTATGAGAAGGCAGCAGAGAATGCCACTGTCCGATAACAGAGGAACAAAAAGAACTCTGACTTGAAAGTAAGGATGCAAGACTTTCAGCCAGGAGATTGTGTACTGTTGAGGAACTTAGGGGTGCCTGGGAAGCAAAAGTTGGCAGATTGCTGGCGATCTCATTCCTACATCATCTGCAACTCCATGGGCTGCCAGTATACAACCAAATCTGTCCTGAGGGGCAAGACTGGCCCTTTTAATATGTGTCATCAAAATCATCTGCTCCTTCTTTCTAGTGCCGCCCAAGTGCCTCAAACCATGGCTCCTCAGAGAGTTAAACCAATGGCCCTCAAAACCCAGCTGTGACAACGAGGCCAAAGCCACTGACCAACAGAGATGGAAGATGACAGCGATGAAGATGAGGCGATGCCCTACTGGCTATGGCCAGATACCCAAAACATTGTAACTAGGACCCAGCCGACTGGAGAAGAGAGAGTTCAGAGGTAGAAATCCTACCCACACCTGCGGCCAGTGAAGTTAAGATCGAAACAGTTAGCCCAACAAGTGGGGGAGGAATGGAAGATCTAATCGATTTTAATGATGAAATCATCCAACCCAGACTCAATAACCCTCCTGCAGTTGAAGACACTCCTGCAGATGCAGAGTCGGAGGAAGGGATGGGATCCTTTTAGTGCAGGGCCCATTCCAATCCTACCCTGAAGAATACCGAACTTCTCCCTGCTGAGTTAAGTTCATCTCAGCTGCTGTTGGACTCTCATAGTCTCATTGATGCCATTAATTCAGACGCAGATCCTATGCCTGTGCTAGAAGGCCTTCCACACATCCAGGCGAAACATAAATCCGCCCAAAAGTCTAACCTATGATGCATTAGGAGAAAACTCAGATGAACTAATACCTACTATCAGATGACAAAACAATGTGCCAGACCCCTCTACCATTCATTGGCTAGGAGGTAACCTTGACTCACCCTCTGACACCATTGGATGGGCCACAGCTATAGCCCTGGCCTGTCAACAGCTTGACAGAGTCAATGGGAAGTATAGGCAGATGGCTTCAGCAAAACCCTGAAATATACCAATTGTTGAATTTAAGTTTTATGTTTGAGGTTTATCATAATCTGTGAATACTGCCTTTATTATTTGCTAGTTAAAATAATGTTTGGTAATATTTCTGTCTCTTTGGGGCCTATCTGGACATGTAGTCCAGATAGGAGGGACTTGCCAAGAAGCAATGCTGCTGGGAACAACAGGATCCAGCTGGCTGGAGGAGAAGAGGTGCATGCTGGAGGAGGATAGATAAGCTGGACCTGGGAGAATGCTCTTCCTCTTGGGACTATGGGCTGAAGCTGTAAGCAGGGACCCGGCTGCTGTGTAGAGCTGAGCAGGCCATGCGGTCCAAACAGAGAGGGAGTCTTTGGCGTCTGAGCCATCGACCATCCACTAGAACATCTGTCTGCAGTTTCCTGTTGGCAGACATGACTGAGCCGAGGAGTGAGCATCATCGCCATTTCATCCTCAGCGGAATCCCAGTGTCACAAGGCGCTAGGCCGAGCGTCCCACACTGGTAGAAGAATCTGTGGCAGCCTTCCAGGACACCCCAAAACCCTTGAGCCACAATATCATCAGGATTGGTGATCTGGCAGAAGTCCACACTGTGTACACTCTTCACTAAGGAACACTGCATGTAGACACCTTTTTATACCTTACACCTGCTTACAAGTTTGAGACCTTCTTCTGGAATCATCTACATAAAATTATTATTGCTGGTCGCCATTGCAAAGCAATCATTTGGGCCCTCATTAACCTAGTTGAAGACCCAGGACATAATTTCCACCAGGACTCTTCTTGATACTCCTCAATCCCAGAACTCGGGGCTTATCCATGTACATATATTAAAGGGGGACGCTATTTAAAACTGTTCTTTTCTAGCATAGCTCATATGTTTACTCTACAGAGTGTACTGTGTTCAAGATCTGTGGAATCAGGATTCTGAGGGAGCAGGCTGAAGTCTTCCTCTTCCCTTTCTTACCTGAAGTCAGAGCTCCCTACTGACCATATTTGAAACCCTGCTTGAATAAGTGTGTTTTATTTCTTCCACGTTCACCTGTGGTCATTTTTTTTTATTCCCAGCAAAGTGTTTGCCACTTAAGTGGTATTCTCGTAACTGTTATTTACTGTTTATTGACTGAATAATCTTTAGTAAAAACTCAACTACATTGCTGCATTCAAGTGTCTGTGCAACTGTTTCCTGAGTGTATTATGTTTGAACCTAGGGTGTCAGAGGTGTCGGGTAGCTTGCAAGCTCAGGGAAACCTTTGGGAGCCCATTTTTTACAGCAGCCCTCACGAGGGTAGCGCTACATATATGTTGGGATGGATGTGCTCTCATGCCTAGTATGGTCAGTCTGAAATAGGAAAACAGAGGGACTGTCAAGAGAAACAGTTTTTTTTTTTTTTACACAAAGGAAGCAATACAAAGAGAACACAATACTTTTCAACACAAGTACATGGTACAACAGCCACATATGAGGAATATTGGGGTGACATATTCTTTATTGTTTAAGCTAATATTTACCAAAAGCATGATCCAGAATCTCGATTCTGCTGCAGTAAATTGTGAACGGGGCCTTATGGCTGTATGTCTGCTGTGACATCTTCCTGGCGGTGGGATGTGTCCGAACGCACATGAGCTCATCCCTAGCCCCCATTCCCATCTGAGCCTTTAGTAGTGTGTATTCCCACAACTGACTATGCTTAAAGGATAAGTTCACCTTTTTACGAAAAATAATAAATGAACATTTTTTTGCAGAAAACAAAAGTGCATTTATTATTTTTTTGTTTCTGGAGCTCTAAAGTATTGCACCAGTGATCAGCAGAGTTTTTGCACTTGAAGGACCCATTAACACCAAAAACTGTGCGTTTATGCATGCACAGTGGAGTGCATTTGACAATTTAAAAAACAATGTGGCCCACCTGGCTGCGTTTTTTAATAATTGCAAAAGCTAGCAAGGAGGAGAAGTTCCCCAGCTAGCTGTCACAACTGGGAGCATGGAGGAGTGGAAGCCAGTCAGTTTGTAACATGTGTAGCACTACCCCCTTAGGCATTGCGGTTGTATTTGGGTTACCCTATAGTCCTGCACAACCAGTCACTGAGCATTGTCCACACAGCATTCATTCATAGACAGAAATCAGGCCTTGAGTTGGTTTTGTTTTTTTTATTGAAGGGATTGAACTTGGATAGGGTAAAAGGGGTGTATTGGATGTCCAAGGGTAACCAAAATCTGAGGACAGCTTCCTGAACTATTCACAACTTCTCCATTGCAACACAGTTTCTTGTTGGAGTGCTAGCCAGCAACTCCATTTACAGTACTAGAGACCCCAGATGAACTCCTCTTCCACCCAGCAGTCTGTAAGTTTCCTTTCCTGAGCAGGGGATCTGGCTCCTGTTCTTTTAAGGAAAGTCTGCAGTCACTAGAAAGGGGGCCAATCCGGTTTCCCACCAGAGTGCTCCCTCCCCTATCCACCCAGGGGGTGTAGGTGTACTCTCTCAGATCCTCTCCTGCACAGCCTATGGAATGGCTGCTGCTTCCAGGCCTATCAGCTGGGCAGCTCCTTCCTTGTCACACAGGTGGTCCTCTCCCAGAAGACCAGTGAGTTTTGAGCTTTCCTCCTCTCCGACTCCAGGCTCGCAGGCAGGCCCCATCCCAGCAGGCCTCCTGGCAGCCTTCCTCTACTAGCTTCACATCTTCCTCACTCCACTCTTCCCCGACTTCTCTCCTCCCCTCTCTACTGAGCAGACTCTACACCGTTTAAGGAGTCCAGCCCCTTGCCAAGCCTCCTGCTGGGGATCGGCTGAGGTCCCTAAAAAGCAGCATATCACTCCTCGATCCTCCAACTGCCTCCAAGGCCCTCCTCCTGAAGCCTCAGAGCAGGGGGAAATTCCAGAGGGGCTGACCTGCAGAGTCTCTCAGTCCTTACCAAAATTGGACCCCTCTGATTATTACACCTGAGCTGCTAATCAGCTCCTCTCTAGCCATCAGGGATCTAGCTTCACCTACATGGGTGTAACATGTAACATCTAGCTTCACCTACATGGGTGTAACATGTAACATCTAGCTTCACCTACATGGGTGTAACATGTAACATGTTATGAAAGATGAACTTATCCTTTAGTGTCCATTCACACCATGGTTCTGAGACGTCAGTTTATCTGCACGCGTTCAGCAAGGGCACAACAAACTCAATGTGCTCTGTGCACACCACAACTCTAGTATTATGTGCAGAATTTGTCTGCGCAGGAATCTGCAAAGTGTATAAAATTCATTGAAGCGCACATGAAAACCGATGTCTCGGCAAGGGACATCTGTGTGTCAGGTTTGCTCAGTTTTTCTGTATGTATGGTGTGAACGAGGCCTTAAAGAATCAGTTCACTTTTTGTAACGTAACTTTTTACAATCAGACCAGCCTCTGCTGCCCGCCCCCTGCTTTGACAGCTAATGGGGGGATCTTCTCCCCCCCCTCTCCAGCTGTCAAATTTTTAAAAAAAAAAGTGGCCATGTGGGGCTCTGCCCACAGTCATCTGTGAATGAGAGACTACAAGTCCTGGCAGCCTTAGCGGCTGTCAGCTTGTAGTCCTCAATGAACTACCGTGGTGCTGTGGAAGTTCATTGATTCTTCCTGTCAGTATATCTGACTGTAAGGGCAAGCAGATATACTATCAGATCTGCAGGAGACCTGCATGGCACCAGCCATCTGCTGATCACTGGTGCAATGCTTTACAGGCTGCTTTGGACAAAAATAATAAATGCACATTATTTTACCTGCAATGTGCATTAATTTTACTTTACTAAACAGTGAACTTATCCTTTAACCTCTTCCCTACCGCGCTATAGCTGAAAGATGGATACAGCACGGTTTTCTAGTTCTAGGGCGACGTCCATGGACGTCATTCCAGAACACGCCCCCTGCGCACCCCTAGCGGCGTGCACCTGGCGCCGCCGGTGATTGCTGTGTCCTACGGACACAGCTGATCATGTGATACAATAAATGGACAATCACAATGGTCTTTTACCATGTAATCAGCTGTGTCCAATGACACAGCAGATCACCGGGTAAATACAGTTGCTGGTTATCAGCTGCACTCTCCTTATGCTGTTACAGTGTGAGGAAAGTCCTGCTAATAATTGGCAATTTTCAGAGAAGTGATCGGCACTGATGATCAGTTCCCAGCAGTGCTGCCCACCTGTGCCCATCAGCAGGGGCGGACTGACCATTTGGAAACTTGGGCACTGCCCGAGGGCCCAGGGTCAGTAGGGGGCCCCATGAGATGCCCCTGGTACCTTTTTCATAGGCTTTTTTGAGTTTTGGCAAGGACACGGGCCCCATGATCCCCTATTGCCCGGGGGCCCCATGAGTTGTCAATCTGCCCCTGCCCATCAGTGACACCCACCTGTATCCATCAGTGCTGCCTATTAGTGCCGCCTATCCGTGTCACCTCATCAGTGCCTCCTATCAGTGCTGCCTATCTGTGCCACCTCATCAGTGCCCATCAGTGCAGCCTCATAAACGCACATCAGTGAAGGAGAAAAATTACCTGCTTGCAAAATTTTATAATAGAAACAAAGAAAAACTTTTTTTTTCAAAATGTTTGCTTACCACCAAAACCACCAAAAGAAAGCTCTATTTGTGAGAAAAAAAAAATGATAAAAATGTCATATGGGTACAGTGTTGCATGACCGCACAATTGTCATTCAAAGTGCGACAGCGATGAAAGCTAAAAATTGGCCTGGGCAGGAAGGGGTAGAAGTGCCCGGTTGGCAAGTGGTTAAGCATTCAAAGTGGTCAATGTTGATTAGGAGTGAAGGTCCAATTTAAACATTCTATCATTTAGCTCTTCAGTATGTAATACCACCTGGCGCCGCTGGATGTCTCTACCACCTACTCACGCGCCCAGTCTCGGTTCCCAGACCGCTCCGTAATCTCGCGGGAAGTGTTGCGGCCACTAATGAGAGCGGAAGTCGCTGCTAGTTCTCTTTTCCGGCGGCCATAGTGGACTGTGCGGCTTGGTAAGGAGCTCTGGGGCCAGGATGGATTATAATCCGTTGTCATCCTCTCCCGCACGGCTCTCTTCATGTGTTATTTCTTTGTTAATGGATAGAGGGCCCCCCGGAAATCTTGACGGGGGAGATATTGGCACAGCGATGTGTAAACGATGCTGTAGAGTGACTGGAGAGCTCTCTTTCCTGCACTGTAGGCTTCGCCGGGAGGTGGGGGCTGCAGGAGGCACCTTGTGTGCTGGACGGTGTGCTGGCAGTGACACGGTGGGGCTCCTGGACACCCCCGTGTGAAGGCTTCATTGTGAGGCAAATGTATTCATGTGCTGTGTCCTCATACAGTTTTGATACATGATCACATCACTGCAATGTAGCCGATCGTAGAATATAGAAGTTCAGGAGCATGCAGTGATCATTCAGCGGCTTCCGAGCATCTAAGACATGAATGGTTTCTGGGAAACCTGACAAATCTCTTCTTGTGGATCTCACATGAAATCTGAAGCTGTGTGGACATTCTAGGAATACATCCAGATCTGTTCATGTATACTTCCACTGGTTGGTCCGATATTTAGTGTCTGGGCATACCGGTGCGATTTCAGGTGCGACTTGCGGATTGAAATTGCATCTAATGAATGTCAGTGTGTTAACGTGCGATTTGCTGCAGCATGGTTTCTAAAGTCGTTCTTGCATTACTTTTTCTGCAGTTTTGTTGCAATTTCACATACACAGAATATAGTAAAAATTGAACTGCAAAATCTTCACAAGTCGCAAAGTCTCCAGAAATTGCACACAAATTGCGCAATTTTAAATTGCGGCTGTGCGACCGATGACTTAGTTTCAAGCAGTCTCAATTGCAAACAGTTTGGAGCTGATAAGATCACGTCTGCTTTGATTACTGTACTAGGCTTCCCAAAGTGGGCCCATTAAATTGCTGTATGGCTACTTACCGGCTGTTTTGCAGACGTGTGTGATTAACCTTTAGACGCTGAGCGCTCGCAAATATGGGGCCTCTCGGTGTCTGGGCCTTGACGCCAAGTGGCCGCATATTTCCGTGCCATTAGAAAATACATATGTGCTGAGAGCACGTGCTCCCAGCACATATGTCCGTGACTTGCGAAGGGTCCCCATCTCCCCTTACGATGGGGACCTTTTCTGATCATGTGACAGCGAGTCACGTCAGTCACATGACCTTAAAACACCGCCCTCCTCCTGGCTTCTGAAACCCTTAAAGGGCTGGGAGGCGCTAAGGGGTTAAAGTATAGCTAAAGGCAAAATGTTTTTGTTTTTTAGTTTGGATGGAGTGGAGAGGGATTAGAACTCCTGTCGGGTTTTTATTGCTGTGTGTAGCCCCATTAGGGAGATTCTCCTGCTTACCATTATGATTGAAAGTAAATCCCAAATTTTGTGTTGTCCCCAGATAAGTAATGGAGGGGAAATCTTCCAATGGGGAGACCTGGGGAACCCCAAGGAATTCCCTGAAAGTGGTTGTAAAGGCTCCCTAATACCTGAGCACCATCAAAATCCAGCAATGTGCATGAGAACCTTGGCTGTCTGGGTCTCTTCCTCCTCATTGTCTATGATAGCCTGTGAGCCAATGCGGGGGGGGGGGGTGGAGTCAAGCCACAGCTCTCTGCTTGTGAATGGACACACAAAGCAGTGGCTCGGAGGGAGGGCGCCTGCTCGGATGCCCCATAGCAAGCTGCTTGTTATGGGGGCATCTGACAGGAATGAGGAGCCAAGAGCATTGGTGGGGGACCCTAGAAGAAGATGATCTGGGCTGCTCTGTGGAAACATGACATGTTTGTAAAAAAAAAAATAAAAACCCTAAACCTTTAGTACCGCTATAATTTGGAGGGTTTTTCTCACTTCCTGTTTTGGCTATGGAACAGGAAGTGAAGGCATATCTCCCCAATGGGACACAGATGGCAAAAAATAGACAGGTTATAACCTTCCTATGCCGTATCCAAAATGAAAAGAAAAAGTTTTGCCTATAATTCTACTTTTAAAAAGTTTTCACTTCCGCAGAGAGCAGATTTTACATTCAAGACCCTCTCTGCTCCCTAAGGCCCCTTTTCTATAGAGCAGACTCCATTGAGGTCAGCAGGGGCATCTGTGCACAGAGCTGAGCAGGCAGATGACACATCTGTGTCAACTCAGTTCCTGCAGAGTAGACATGGACACAGACCACCCTGCTCTTATAGGTTGGGAGTAAATTAACTCCACTGTCCATTTACACCTGACTGTCATCAATATACCTAGACAAAGGAGGACAGATCTCCTTCAGGTTTTGCTTTTGTTTTGTTTTTTTTGTATTAGATTCAAAGTAGGCAGGTGTAAGCCAACACAAGTCCATTTACACCTGCCAGTCCATAGGGGTGAAGGGATCTTCCAATCAGGTCTACCTGAAAAACTGACAGTCGGACTGTTCATGTGAATGGGGTCTAAAGCCTCATGCAGATGAACAAATGAGAATTAATAGTCTGCTGCATTTAGATGTGAATCAACTCTTTCTGCATCTGGATACAGCAGCATTCTGTTATAGCTACATACAAACATGACAATTCACTTCAGTTTGTATACCTCCAGAAATTCCATTCCTGTGACTGGGGCAGTCAGATTTCTAATCCCTTTTAACCGCTTAGATCAGGGGTCTCCAAACTTTCTAAAGAAGGGACCAGTTTACTGTCTTTCAGACTTTAGGGAGGCTGGATTGTGCCAAATGGGAGAAAACAATACCCAATCTTCCAATCTTTGGTGTGGAGGGGGGGTATAGCTGGTGTCAGTGGGAGGAATAGTGCCCCATTTTTGTTGTCAGTGAAAGGATCTATACCCCATCATTGCTGTCGTTGGAAGAACTAGTGCGCCATTGTTTGTGTCAGTGGCTGGAATAATGCCTCAAGGACCTGGATAAAGGAGGCAAGCAAAGGGCTGCAGTTTGGAGACCACTAGTTTAGATGAGCGGTCTCCTGCATTCTGCAGCAGGACTAACCATTGATCTGTCTGTACAGGGTATAGTGTAGATTCTCACCAGCGGCGGCAGCTTGTCCTAAAGAGGCCTAAACAAATCTAAATGGCAATGTTCTGTAGTAGAAGAGAGATGCTAGCTAGCCTGACTCACCTATCTTACTTCCATCAGACTGTTCACATTCCACACTCTACGAGCATCTAATGCTGACATATGCTGCCACGTGCTGTGCTTCCATCTCCTGCCCCCTACGTCACTTCAAGGTTTATTTGTTGATGTAGTGGTCATAAGGTAGAGCCACAATGCCTAGCCGAGGACATGGGTATCTGACAGTTCTAAAAACGTTGAATGCTAAACTGTTATGGAGGTTTCAGAACTCAGTTAAAGGGGCAGTAGGAGACATGACAGCTGATCTGTTACATGTGACTGGCTGATGGGTTTGTTTAGGGAGCTGACATTGTTTCTTAATTAGTTTCTGATGGCTTGTCATGTGTGCCCAGGTTTTGTTAGCCTTTTCCTCTGTAAACACTCAGATTGTTATAGGGTATCCGAAAGATGCAATCTGCATGGTTTTGCGATAGTTGCATGGTGTACAACCACTAGTTCAGACTGTTCCTCTAATTTGGCAAATCTGTATTTTTTTTTTTTTTTGGTGGTCATATATGTCCTTTATTAATGTTAAGGTTTTTTTTTTTTCTTTTCTTTTTACGAAGTTTGTTACTTGTTTTATCATTTATTTTCAAGGTGTATTTGTGCATGTTACAGCTTGCTGTGTTTATTGCATTGTGATCATACCAATAGTTCTTGTCTGTTTCTCCTTTTAGGCAACATGAAGTTCAGTCCATTTGTTACTTCTGACCGAAGCAAGAACCGCAAGAGGCACTTCAATGCCCCCTCACATGTTCGTAGAAAGATTATGTCCTCTCCCCTCTCCAAGGAGTTGAGGCAAAAGTACAATGTCCGCTCCATGCCCATCCGCAAGGATGATGAAGTACAGGTACGCTACTATTATCGGATCTACAGAATGTCTTGGTGGGGTTGTTTGCTGTTGTGACAGGGCTTGTCTGTTTGTACACAAATTGGGAAAAATCAAACTGTACAGGCATTTGGTGAGAAAAGGTATTAAAAGTATTACCCAGTAAGAAATATTTCCGTTGTTTTGATTTTCTTTTTTTTTTTTTTTTTTCTTTAGAAGCGTAAAATGCTAATGGATAATAAATATATATGTGAGAGTGACTAGGGGTTGGTTGTTTTTCTGAAATATGGTTGAATGATTGCAACTTTCCAGACCTTGTTGAAATTTAAACAAATTGCATTTATTTTTATTTAAAGCATTAGATAATTGTGACATTTGTAAATTAAAAACTGACAAATTGCGCTTTAAGCTCTTGCCTTCCTTTATGAGACTTTCTTCATACCTGTGTATGAAGGGATTGTAATAGGGAGGTATATAGACTCATCTGAACTGGAGCGGTGTCTGTATTTTGTGACTGCTACACCTCATTAACAGATGAAACAGCTGCTTTCTCTCATCTGTCATTTCCATATTTAAATACCCTGGTTTTTTTAATGACGCTTCCTTGGATTTGCAGGTCGTACGTGGGCACTACAAAGGCCAGCAAATTGGCAAAGTTGTCCAGGTGTACAGAAAGAAATACGTCATCTACATTGAACGTGTACAGCGTGAAAAAGCTAATGGCACCACTGTCCATGTTGGTATCCACCCCAGCAAGGTATGTTCAGTGCTTCTTGAAAACGTATTTTGACTTCTGATGAAGCCTTTATTTTAAGTGATTGAAGTACATGCCACCTTATGTTGCTATAGATATAGATTTTATGGTCTGTCTGATTTCAGAAAATCAAGCTTTTGTTGTGGGAATTAGGAGTGATAAATAATTTGCAGGTTTGATATGATGGTACAACAATTGAGCACAATGGTGATTTGTCACTCCGGTCCTAGAAACTTTGGTAGTGTGTCTTAGTCTCAGATAGACCTGGGATATTTAGGTACATATAGTCATGGCCGAAATTGTTGGATTTTTATTTCCGCTTCTAGAAACATGTTTTGGTATACACATGTGTGTCTGTATTGGAAGTCTCAGCAAATATGACATAATGTCACACAAAACCTGGCTGGACAAAAGTATACCCTTAACTTAATATTTGGTTGCACACCCTTTGGAAAACATAACTGAAATCAGGCTTCCTATAACCACACCTCTATTTTGGACCACTCTTCCTTTGCAAACAGCTCCAGGTCTCTCTTATTGGAAAGGACACCTTTTGTTTCAATGGGATTTAGATCTGGGCTCATTGCTGGCCACTTCAGAACTCTCCAGCGCTTCTTTGCCATCCATTCTGAGTGCTTTTTGACGTATGTTTGTCATTGTCCTGCTGGAAACCCAGGATCTTGGACGCAAACCCAGCTTTCTGACACTGGGCCCTACAGTGCGACCCAAAATCCTTTGGTAATCCTCAGATTTCATGATGCCTTGACTGAATGAACCTGGAGTACTGTGTTTTGTTCTTTGTATAACTTAGAATAGCTCTATCTTGGTCTCATCTGTCCACAAGACGTTTTCCCAGAAGGGCTTAAACTAATTTTGGAAATCAGTGCTTTTAATGTCTCTGTGTCAACCCTTTTCGCGCCACTGCTCCCTGAGCCTGTGAGGGCACACCCTGCGTTTGAAACAGTATTTTCATCTTGAGGCACCCCAGTCTAACCTTTTTTGCTTGGTTCACTTCAGAACTTCCAGCGCTTCTTTGCCATCCATTTCTGTGTTGCGTATGTTTGGGGTCATTGTCCTGCTGACCCAGGTACAAAAGCTTTCTCACTGGGCCCTACAGTTCCTGTAACAGATTTCATGATGCCTTGCACACAGTCAAGGCACCCTGCCAGAGGCAGCAAAACAACCCCAAAACATCATTGAACCTCCACCAATTTTACCGTAGGTACTGTGTTTTGTTCTTTGTAGGCCTCATTCGTTTTCGGTAAAGTAGAATGATGTGCTTTACCGAAAAGCTCTATCTTGGTCTCATCTGTCCACAAACGTTTTCCCAGGCTTTTGGCTTACTCAAGTACATTTTGGCAAACTGTAGTCTTGCTTTTTTATGTCTCTGTGTCAGCAGTGGGGTCCTCCTGGGTCTCCTGCCATAGCGTTTCATTTCATTTAAATGTCGACGGATAGTTCGCGCTGACACTGATGCTCCCTGAGCCTGCAGGACAGCTTGAATGTCTTTCCATGTTTGGGGCTGCTTATCCACCATCCGGACTATTCTGCGTTGCAATCTTTCATCAATTTTCCTCATCCGTCCACGACCAGGGAGATTAGCTACAGTGCCATGGGTTGCAAACTTCTTGATATGTTGCGCACTGTGGACAAAGGCAAATCTAGTTCTCTGGAGATGGACTTGTAACCTTGAGATTGTTGATATTTTGCCACAATTTTGGTTCTCAGGTCCTCAGACAGTCTCTCGTCTCCTCTTTCTGTTGTCCATGCTTAGTGTGGCACAGACAGACACACAATGCAAAGGTTAAGTGAACGTCTCTCCTTTTTATCTGCTTTCAGGTGTGATTTCTATATTGCCCACACCTGTTACTTGCCCCAGGTGAGTTTACAGGAGCATCACATGCTTGTAACATTCTTATTTATCCGCAGTTGTGAAAGGGTGCCAATACTTTTGTCCAGCCCATTTTTGGAGGTTTGTGTGACATTATGTCGAATTTGCTTTCTTTCCTCCCTTTTTTTGTTTTGTCCCAATACACACAAAGGGAATAAACATGTGTATAGCAAAACATGTGTTAATGCAATACGTTTCGTGAGAAATACATGATTTCCTGGAGAAATATCAAGGGTGCCAACAATTTCGGCCATGACTGTATGACTGTGGTGTGTTGGGCAAGGACTGAAGTGGATAGTGATCATGTAGTCTAACTCTGTGTTTCTCAACCTTTTTCCAGTCAGGGCACCCTTGAAAAGTATTTTCAGTCTTGAGGCACCCCAGTCTAAGGCTTGGTTCACCTTGCTGTGTGTTGCGGACTGCGTACAAAATATGCTAGTTTCCTGACAAGCAGACAAACGCACTGCTCTTTAGCAGAAATGCAGAGGTGTCATTCATTCTAAATTATTTGCATTGGCAAACATGGTGCGTTTTCAGTGCAATTTTTTCCTTTGGTTTCTGCAGGGCAGCCATGTCCTGCCCTATATGGCAAATGTCAACACATTAGAGGCAGCAGCTGGGGTTGTACACATGTTGTGGCTGCATACTCCCAATCTTCTGAAGCGGAGGGAGGGTTTGAAGCGGAGGAGGGTTTATTCAGATAAGCACACCCTCCTGCCTTCATGCCTGAGTTAAGGGCAGATGGATTCCTGGAAGTAAATGCTAAATGAATCATCTGCTCTTACTCAAAATGGCTTTGGCCAGAAATGCTAGGGGGTGTTTTTCAATGGGATTTCTCAGCAAAATAAAACGTGGGGACGTGGGTGGGTGGTTTTGCTTTGAATATTAGAAATTTAATTTAAATATTTTTGCTTTGTGGTGCCCAGATGCAAGGTAGTTCATTTTTAAAACCAGTGGTGAGGAGGCAACTTATTGCCTCTTCATCGCCTGTCATATGCCTTTGAAAAGTGATCTGAGGGATGGGAAAATCAATTCTGATAGTATAGGAACTGAGGATCAGGATAAAAAGTACCAGCAACTACATTTTAGATGACTGTAGATAAGTGGCAATTGCTGAATAGGCTCTATATGCAGATACAAATCACTGGTCTGACTTGATCATTGGAAGCTACATTGGATAACATGATTAGCCACTGATGCTGATGATTCTGTAACTAGCTTCAAACTCTGCAAAGATTAATTTGTTCAGTGGCAAAGCTGCAAATCCATACAGCACAGTCATTTTGTTTTGTATACATTTTGATGTCTTCTAGCACGATGACATTGCCCTTAGTTGGTTAAAGGGTAAATACTCTATAGCTGCCAGTGCATGCTCTTTAGCTGGTTGCTTTCTGCACATTTACAGGAAAAAAGCGTTATTATTCTGCTGCTCCAGTTTTGCAAAAGCACAACATGGAATGCCGATTTCCAGTCTTTTCCTACTATCTACATTCAGTCACCTCTGGTTGTTTGACCCTCATTATCCACCAGCTGCCTGGATTTTAAGTACCTTTTGGGCCTAGTGGCATCACTGCCACACAGTTACAACTTGTCTGTATACAAACAGAGAGGGAGCAGTAACACTGCTACAGGTGACCTCAGCCCTTACTTGCCTGACTGTTCTGGGACTGTCTACTTTGCGCCCTCTAAAGGGACCATAGTCTGGAATCCAGCGACCCTGTGGGTGAAGACCTATAAGGGTTTTCATAATCGGCGTCTCCCTTGGCTCCTTTGGGTGAGGCTGTGTCCCCTACACTGTCATCAAGGGCTTCAACTGCTGTTGAAGACTGTTTCTACACTCATCGAAGATACTGACTTCAGAGGCTCCAAGCATGCTCCAGTGCTTTCTCATGTAGAGTCTTCTCTCTGTTCTTCCCATAATCTTAGAACAGGGCTCACCACCAGCCTGTTGCCATTTTTGACTTTTTTTTTTTTTTTTTTTTTTTTTGAGGGGGCCTCTTCCTAGTCACTTGCCATTACCTCAGAATTACAAGAGGTCGGTTTAGCCCTTATTGATGCAGTATGCTCTACTGCTCACCTTTTTTAAGAATTTTACTGACCAGCAGTTGGCATCCCTCCTTAACCAGTTGCTGACTGCGGGTGGCAGCTACAGGACACAGTGGATGCGGCTCCCGGGACTGGACTGCTTTGAGGGTGGGGGATCATGTGATTGTTATGCGATTATATGATCACAATGTCAACAAAGCTGTTATGAATTCATTCATAACAGCTGTGATTCCTATAGTGATGCTGTGATTGGCTGACAGCGATCACATTGTACCTGGGCCAAAGTATTGCACTCGAGATCAGTGGATTGTGGGTGCTATGCCAGGCTCCTGCAGACTCTTCCTCTGCTGAGGTATGGGCTTTTATTTACAGAGCTGAAAAGTGTCGGTGGACTACAAATGTGGTGATTACCATACTTCCATTCCATTGAGAATTTCAAGTCCACCTGCTGTGTTGGCAGACTGGACTTGTAGTTCATTCATTCAAAGATCTGTCAATGAATGACCTGGATGTGCAGGCAGAGGCCCACACACCTATATCCATTTCAAAAGTGACAGTAGCTCAGGAGGAGAGGAACCCCTTCAGTGTCACTGCCTCCCCTCCTGTGCTGCAAAGGTTAAATGCTTGTTTATGGTTGTGGGGATGTGGTGTATTACCGTATTCTGCACTCCCAACACTTTTCTGCCCGAGCTCAACGTTGATCGGTCCCACTGTGTCATAACATGCAGTACCAGGCTTTTAACTTTATTTATGTGAGGAGGTGAGCAAGCAGCAACTAGTGCCCAAAAGGCCTTAGAAAGGCGACAGCCCTGGACTTGTTGCATGGGTAAAGAGCCTTCTGTAGGGAGGAATAAGGCATTACAACTTATTCATGCATAGACTGAACAAGCATTTAACGTGCACACATTCACAAAATACGAAGGCCCCTCTGAATGGGCAGCAGAGGGGAGGGGTGGGTGGGCTTAGCTTCTTCGTGTGCTGTTCTCCTCTTTCACAGTCCAAGGTGTCTCAGGTGTAATTCCCTCAGAGCAATAAACTTGTCAGAGATAAATAATAGAGGTCCAGGAGATATCCTGCAGCTCCATGGGCTTAACTCAGTGTGCCTTCACTTTTTAAAAGTGGCTGAATTCCTGGAATTCAGTTTTAAAGGCATATTCTATATTTACAAATATGTAATAAATGCTCCCTCGTTATTACAATGTGCATTCATTAAATATTTGCACTTGCAGAGCATTGCAATTATGATCAGAGCAGTGCATATGCTTCTGCATTGTTTACCCTCAGGTCTGTATAGACCTTCTGTTAGGGCTTGTTCACACTTGACTGTTTTACCAACGCTTGCCAAACGCCCCTATAGCGTTTGGCAAGTGTTGGTCCGGCGTTTGCAGAATGCTTTTTAAATCGGCAAATGCTCCGCAAACGCCGCATGCACGGTTTAGCGGCGGTAGCCAGGTGTTTGCCGAGCATTACAAACGCCTATAATGAAGTTTGAATGGTGTTACTCCGCAAACATACCGCAACGCAAATGCCGGCCGGGCATTTGCGGAGCGGCACCATAGACTAGAATAGGAGGCTTTGACGCCTCCTGACTCGACCAGAGGCGTCCGTTTTGCCACGACGATAACGCTCCCGTTAGAACAGCACCATGTACTGCAATGTGCAGAATTGTCCGAGGCGTTTGGGAAGCGGTAAAAACGCTTCCCAAACGCCTCTCTGCTGCCTGCACACAACGTTAGTGTGAACGTAGCCTTATGGAACTGGAGGATGTAAACTGAACTGCAAATGCACGAACATCACAGCCCTGTTGCTGGCACAATTTAGGAGTTCCTCTGCCATGGTGGTTGATCGGACTTGTAGTTTTCCCATTCATGGTTTACTATGAATGGATGCTGTGTGCGCACAGCTATGCTGAGTTCAAATGAATACTTGTATTTGACAGAATAGGTGGATGTTCTGGTGTAGGGAGCTTTATCATATCTTGATACAGTTAATGCTAAATTATAGTACAACGTGTATGTTCATCCTTTTGATACACTGTTGAAGAAAAGCAGAACCACCTGGGGTGGAAACTTGATGCAGTTCTCTGGCTTCACTACATATTCTTTCATAATGTACAATGTGGGGTAAAAGTGCTTTTTTTTTTTTTTTTTTTTTTTTTTTTTTTTTTTGCACTATAAACAAAAAAGACTGAACATTTTTTAGATCAAAAACAATATTTTTGACTTTATTAAACATGTCTAATAAAAAAAAAAATTAAAACAAATTTCGTCATAAATATAGGCCAAAATGTATTCTGCTACATGTCTTTGCTAAATAAATAAATAAAAATCCCAATACGTGTAAATTTAATTGGTTGACGTGAAAGTTTTTTGTAGCGTCTACAAATGGCAGTGTGTATATATACCAGAATTTTTTTTTCAAGAAATATATATACATACATGTGAAACTCGAAAAATTAGAATATTGTGCAAAAGTTCATTTATTTCCTTAATGCAACTTAAAAGGTGAAACTAATATATGAGATAGACTCATTACATGCAAAGCAAGATAGTTTCAAGCCGTGATTTGTCATAATTGTGATGATTATGGCTTACAGCTCATGAAAACCCCAAATCCACAATCTCAGAAAATTAGAATATTACATGCAATCAATAAAACAAGGATTGTACAATACACAATATCGGACCTCTGAAAAGTATAAGCATGCAAATGTACTCAGTACTTGGTTTGGGCCCCTTTTGCAGCAATTACTGCCTCAGTGCGGCGTGGCATGGAAGCTATCGGCCTGTGGCACTGCTGAGGTGTTATGGAAGACCAGGATGCTTCAATAGCGGCCTTCAGCTCTTCTGCATTGTTCTGTCTCATGTCTCTCATCTTTCTCTTGGCAATGCCCCATAGATTCTCTATGGGGTTCAGGTCAGGCGAGTTTGCTGGTCAGTCAAGCACAGTAATCCCACAGTTATTGAACCAGGTTTTGGTGCTTTTGACAGTGTGGGCAGGTGCCAAGTCCTGCTGGAAAATGAAGTCCGCATCCCCATAAAGCTAGTCTGCGGAAGGAAGCATGAAGTGCTCCAAAATCTCCTGGTAGACGGCTGCGTTGACCCTGGACTTAATGAAGCACAGTGGACCAACACTAGCAGATGACATGGCTCCCCAAATCAACACAGACTGTGGAAACTTCACACTGGACTTCAAGCATCTTGCAGTGTGTGCCTCTCCATTCTTCCTCCATACTCTGGGTCCTTGGTTTCTAAATGAGATGCAAAAGTTGCTCTCATCAGAAAAGAGGACTTTGGACCACTGAGCTACAGACCAGGTCTGTTTTTCTTTAGCCCAGGTAAGACGCTTCTGACGTTTGTTGTTCAGGAGCGGCTTGACAAGAGGAATGTGTGTGGTGGCTCTTGATACACTGACTCCAGCCTCAGTCCACTCCTTGTGAAAGTCTCCAACATTTTGAATGGCCTTTTCCTGACAATCCTCTCCAGGCTGCGGTCATCCCTGCTGCTTGTGCACCTTTTTCTTCCACACTTTTTTCCCTTTCACATAACTTTCTATTAATGTGATTTGATACGTTACTTTGGGAACATCCAACTTTTTGCAATTGCCTTTTGAGGCTTTCCCTCCTTATGGAGGGTGTCAATGATGGTTTTCTGCACAACGGTCAGGTCAGCAGTCTTTCCCATGATTGTGATTCCTACTGAACCAGACTGAGAGACCATTTAAAGGCTCAGGAACCCTTTGCAGGTGTTATGGCTTAATTATCTGATTAGAGTGGGACACTTTGAGCCTAGAATATTGCACCTTTTCACAATATTCTAATTTTCTGAGATTGTGGATTTGGGGTTTTCATGAGCTGTAAGCCATAATCATCACAATTATGACAAATCACGGCTTGAACTATCTTGCTTTGCATGTAATGAGTCTATCTCATATATTAGTTTCACCTTTTAAGTTGCATTACTGAAATAAATGAACTTTGGCATGATATTCTAATTTTTTGAGTTTCATCTACACGTACATACATATATATATATATATATATATATATATATATATATATATATATATATATATATATATATATATATATATAACATACATACATACATACTAGTAATGGTAGCAATCAGCGACTTATAGCGGGACTGCAACTGGCTTTCTGAAATTGGTGGGGAACTGACTGTCACTGACATCCCCAGTGACACTAGTACATTGATTTGTGCCAAGAAAAAGCACTGACCCAGTACTAATGACACTGGGCAGGAATGGGTTAACATCTGGGGCAATTAAAGGGTTAACTGTGTGTATGCTTACAGAGCAATAAAAAAGTGTGTAGGAGCTGACGGGATAGATTTGTATTGTTTACATACAGACCTCTCCCCCTCAGTGATACTCAGCGATCACGGGGTGCTGGCGAGGAATCTCCAGCTGGGACTCAGGGATCGACAGCGGAAGCTGCCAATGGCGGCATGGGTAGGGCAAGCGTGTCCCCTACCCCAAAATGCAAAATCACGTTTGTTTTATATACGTGATATTGCGCAGCCCTGCAGCAGTATTTCTGCTATAGGGTGGCAGGCAAGCGGTTAAGATTTCTCATTTAGCGCCATTGACTGAATTAAAGAAATCGGATTTCCTCCATTCACATGTCAGTGTTGGAGAAATCTCCCCTGCCAACTAGTGTATCCTTGCAGCTGGTGCTCCTGTGGCTGTCAGGCGACCCAGTGACTTTACATGATTGGTTGCTTTCTGTTTTTTTTTTTTTTTTTTTTTTGTAGGGTGGGAAGTTGTTGTCCCTAGAACAACTAATGGAACTCTTCCAACAGTCAACTATCTGATAAGAATTTCCCTCACTTTGATAGGGGTAAAGGGAATTTTAGCTATACATATATTCTAATGTTTGAAATCAAGTGAGAGATTTGTTTTGCTGTGGATTGATAGATGCACATTGCTGACAAGTGGTAAGCTACTTTGTATTCCTTTTTGTTCTGAAACACCCAAGAAATATTTGTACAACCTTATTGAAGATTTTTACCACTTAAATATTGTGTAAGTAAAGGTGTGCTGTTTGTGTGTTTAGTAACTTCTTTCCTTTGACTTAGGTGGTGATCACCAGGCTAAAGCTTGACAAGGATCGCAAGAAGATCTTGGAACGCAAGGCCAAGTCTCGCCAAGTTGGCAAAGAGAAGGGCAAATACAAGGAGGAAACAATTGAGAAGATGCAGGAGTAACTTTATCAATAAAAAACTGTTCTGTTTCCAGAAAGTGTGGCTCTCCTTTCTTCAGACTAGTATTGTAGCCTGTTTACAAATATACCTGTTTACAGGCCTGGCAGTTCTCAACCAGAACTAGGAGACAGCTTGAAACACCTAGGAGATTCAAAACCTGTATGCGAATATATGTAGCTGAGGCTTGCATAGTTAAGCAGCCTTTACAGTTCAGCTAATTTTGAACAGGCTTGATTTTTAACAAACAAAAATACAGAGCAAGCTATTACTTTACCAGTTGAACTTTAAACTATAAATAACTGTTAAAGTGTCAAATGTTCCCTTAGCTTACCTGCATTGTAGTAGCTATACTTGTCTTTTCTATCACAGACAAGTCATGGTCCTGCATTTGGGCATGGGGTTTTCCCTGAGATGTTAATGTAGTTATTGCTGGTGGGGAGGTGGGCACTGAAATGCTGGGATAATCTGGTAAAACTAGTACTGTGTGTGAATGTTGTGCAAGACAGATTGAGCAAACACTGTCATTTGTGGTCTCTCACCTCAACCCCACAGCTTGAACTGTAGCATCTCTTCCATTTTTTTGAATTGCTTGCACCAATTTACCTTCCTCTGTTGTGAGGAAGGGGAGGGCTTTCAAATGTAATCAGTAATAATGTTTATATTGTGATGTGATTAGCCTTCAGATTTTGTCTTTAGCTTATGGTCTCTGGTGTCTAAGGATGGTGGGATCATAGGCATTATATGTATGCAGGACACATGCACCAACCATAAACAAAAGGACCTTTAACCACTTCCCGACCGCCCTATAGCAGATATACTGCTACAGGGCGGCACAGGTGTGCAAAATCACGTGTGTATATATGCGTGATTTGTATTTCTGGGTAGGGTACGCGCACACCATTTGTGACTGTCAATCACCGGGTCCCGGCCGGTGATTACTTGCCGGCGCCCGGTGATTGACGAGGATCTCCGACGGGGAGGAGAACTGTATGTAAGCATGACGAGGATCTCCGACGGGGAGGAGAACTGTATGTAAACATGATGAGGATCTCCGACGGGGAGGAGAACTGTATGTAAGCATGACGAGGATCTCCGACGGGGAGGAGAACTGTATGTAAACATGATGAGGATCTCCGACGGGGAGGAGAGCTGTATGTAAGCATGACGAGGATCTCCGACGGGGAGGAGAACTGTATGTAAACATGACTAGGATCTCCGACGGGGAGGAGAACTGTATGTAAACATGACTAGGATCTCCGACGGGGAGGAGAGCTGTATGTAAGCATGACGAGGATCTCCGACGGGGAGGAAAACTGTATGTAAACAAGACAGTTCTCCTGTCAGCTCATGTACACTGCTTTGGATGGCTGTGCACAGCAAAGCTACTTTGAAAAACTTTATTCAGACACTTCCTGTTAAAAAGGTGACAATGCTACATTTCCTAAACTAATGTATTCTCTCCCTATCACATAGCTTTCTAAGTAATTAACATTAGAGTTACTCCACTTTTGTTGAGAAAAAACATTCCCATATCGATGACCAATGTAAATTGCAGGGGATTTTGATTAATTTTTCCAGATTCCTACCTAGGCGGGTACCACCTGTTAAACACTTCACCTCAAGTTAAAAATGCAGTGGCCATGAAGCAAGGCATTGTGGCCCTGGCATATGTACAGTCCTGTTTGGGTGGGTGGCCGGGAGTGGTAAAACCATGGCTCAGCGACCTGTTTTTTGGCTTCATCCTGACCGCCTGTCTAAAAGAGCACTTGCCTTTGTACTCTCCTTCCCTGGCATGGTGCTCCCTTACACTCTGGTGGTGGACTATCCCTCAGTGGTATTGTATCCAGTGCAGGGCTATGGTCCTAATGTTAGGACCTTAGACCACTGGAGTATAGGGGCGAAGATGCTATAGGAGCACTCTATCAGAGTCAGATGGGGTAAGTAATCTGCTATTAACCCTTGCAGGGTGGGTACAGCTCCCCATGCAAGAGGTCATTTTTTGTTTCCTGGAGTTGAGCTCTAAAGAATATAAAAAAACTAACAATTGATAACTCTTCAAACAATTCATAGCCTGGACTAATGTTTCCAAATGTAATCAGCTAGTGTTAATTTAGGAGCTGTTTTTCTTTACTTGCCAGATGAGTAAAATATCTGATTGGATTTTGCAGGCAGTCTGTCACAATATCTCTAATTAGTCTCCCATAGAAGAAGCTGTTTCCAGGCCCATATCGCATGCTTGTTTTGGATCCGTAAACTGAACTTCTTCCCTGCCCACAACTTGCGTGTAACATTTATGCTGCAGCATACAATCATGCAAGCAATTTCCAATTCACACAACCTCATACAAGGCTACTTTGACATCCTGTCTGTGGCTGTTTTACTCCTGTGGACATTTTTTTTAGAAAATGGCACCTTGTGTAACAGATGTTTGCAGTAATCAGTTTGCATTATGTAATCTGTGGTTTGGAATGAGACAGAATAATATTGGTATCGATCCAAACACTTTAAGAAAAAGTGCTTGGTCTACTACCCATCAAGGAACGTGGCTTGATAAGTAACCTAGGGTTATATTGCAGGAAAAATGGATGCATCCCCTGTAGAGTTACCTGGACCCACAAATCTTTTTTGCCCTCTCAAACTTGGGTTCCAAGCATCGATGGCAAAGCAAGGGATCTAAGCCTGCGAATAAATCTGCCACTGCAGGAGGATCTGCCAGTTCCATCAGAGGTTGGGTGGGCGCATCTGATGGCCCCTGCTTAGGTGGGTGCTGGAGATGCTATAAAAAAAGTAAAAAAAAAAAAAAAGTTTAACAATTTTACTTTCTTTACTTCACCTCTTCTCATGCCTCAGCAATGTTAGAAGGACCTCTGTTTAGCCATTCAGGCATTGCTGTATCGTGTTGTCATTCACATGTGCCCAGCCAAAAGGTTTCAAGGTTTTTACTCAAACCAAAGGCGATATTTGTCCCATAAAATTTAAAGTCCCTTTAATACCTTTATCCTCAAAATAAAGGTAATATATTTAGGGCACATGTACACTACACTCACGTTCAGGAGCTTTTCTGCGGGGGTTTTTTTTTCAGCAGCTCATGAACTCTCCCTAATGTTTTCCCATGTGTCCATGTACACATCGTCGTTTACAGTCGTTATATACTTTACGCTTCTGGTGAGTGCGTAATTTTACCACATGATTTGGAGCACTATTTGTGGATTCTACAGCTTATTTGTACCTAGACCTGCACAGACTGTCACTTTCTTGGGTGTGTGTGTGTGTGTATATATGTATGTGTGTATATATATATATATATATATATTCACAGACAATGCCAATGTGTTTTTATAGCGCTGCACCTATTTATTATAAGTTGTTTACAGTCATTTTCTTGAACGCACCAAAATTGCATTTAGGAGTAGATTATTTTTTTTTTTTAACTTCCATATCCAGATGCTGTCCAGAGCCTTTTTTTTCAATCATCAGAAATGCATGCAACGTGTTTTTTTTCCATGTAAATCAAATGGACCTGGTAGACCAGCACAGTCAGTTCCAGGTTTTGTGTGAAGGAAAAAATGGTAGAACGTACCGCATTATGCTCATGACGGGACCCATAGTGAATACAACCAGAAAAGACAGGTCATCTCAACAAATACTGCCGTCTGCTTCTGCTCTCTCAATTTCTCTCAAAATGTCTGAAATAGTTAATTTTTTTCCTGTTTTTCAGTGCATTCTGGGCAATTTCAAAGGTCTGACGTTATCTAAAAAAAAAAAAAAAAAAAAACACTTCTAAAAATAAACACGGTATGCAAACGTGGCTAAACTGATGTTTTTTAACCTACGTTTTTCCAGCAGTCAGTTTCCATTGTTCAGAAGAGTTTTCCAAACGTCCCGTCTACATGAGCCCTTACACATTCCTATCCTCCAAGGTTATCAGTAATTTCTTTGCCTTGGGTAACACTTATCAGTTTATATGGCTCTCCTCTTTGGCCCATGCATTGGTTTTGCCATCATTTACAAAGGTCCTCGCACCAGTTCTTGGACGATCTGCTGCTACATGAGTACTTGGGCCTTCACCTGGATACATTGTGGATCAAGGTCTTCCTGTCCCAGGCTAATGTGACTTGACTACAAAATCAGGCTCGGCAACTAGTGGTTTTAAAGGGTTTATACCTAATGCATTTTCTGCATTAAAGTGGTTGTAACGTGACATGAAATATGAACAAAGCACATTCATGTAAAGTATGTTTCAATCCAGAGCACTAAGGCTACGTTCACACTAGCGCTGTGTGCAGGCGGCAGTGAGGCATTTGGGAAGCGTCAAACGCCTCTGCCAATTCTGCGCATTACAGCACATGGTGCTGTTCTAACGGGAGCGTTCGCGCGGTGCGGCAAAACGGACACCTCTGGAAGAGTCAGGAGGCGTTGAAGCCTCCTATTCTCGTCTATGGTGCCGCTCCGCAAACGCCCGGCCGGCGTTTGCGGTGCGGTTGTGACGCGGTTGCGGGGCGTTTGCGGAGCGGTAACACCACTCAAACTGCATTATAGGCATTTGTGGGGCGTTATTAACGCTCGGCAAACGCCTAGCAACCTCCGCTAAACCGCGCATGCGGCATTTGCGGAGCGTTTGCCGAGCGTTAAAAAATGCTCCGCAAACGCCGGACCAACGCTTGCCAAGCGCTATAGGGGCGTTTTGGCAAGCGTTGGCAAAACAGCCAAGTGTGAACGAGCCCTAAGAGTCGTTGCTGTTTGCTGCCACATTCATCTATCTGCACCAGTCACTTCTGACAGGTTTGAGTGCACCAAGAGAATAATGGTGATGGGAGGGAGTTCCAGCATACAGCCTGTGATAGCCTCATCTATGCTCCTGTGTGAAAAGGGGAGTGTCCCTTCCTTCCAATCAGAGCTCCCTTCACTTAGATCTGCAGAGTATAACTATCTCCCTGCCCCTGCTTTCTGAAAGCTCAGACAAGCTGTGCAAATTATGTACAATGAATGTAGGAAAGAGGTGG